GGCGGCGGCGGAGGCGGCGTGAAGCTGGAGGAGCGGCTCTACTCGGTGCTCTGCTGCACGGTGTGCCTCGACCTGCCCAAGGCCTCCGTCTACCAGGTGCGCCGCCTCAGGGCAACCCCCCCTTTCCTCAAATCCCTCCGTGTCTCTCGTCCTGTGGGGGGGGTTGGTCGTGGGAATGGGCGCGACCTTTTTCCTCCCCACTTGCCAGGATCCCCCCCACCGCCTCTCAGGCCTGGCTGGGCCTCCACTCCCAGGAGACACGTGTCTACTCACGGCCTGCGGGGCGTGCGAACGAGAGCCCTTGCGGGTCAGGGAAACGGGCTTGGGAAAGAAGGGCCAGCTTTTGTGTGTTGAGGCCGCTCGGAAAGGCCGCGGGGGGGGGCGAGGGAGGCCTTGGGGGTTGCGACTCCCATCAACCCCCTGCCCTGGCCTTGTGGATGGTGGGAGTTGTCGTCTGAAACCTCTGGAGGGCTCCCGGTCGCTTCTCCCTCCTAAAAAAAGGGCTCCTTTTGGGCAAACCGCTCTGTGTGTGTGGGGGGGGGAACGGGTGTCTGGATTTTTAAAAAAAACGCTTGTGCTCAAGAGGTGTAGGGCGTGTTTAAAAATCTGAGGAGAAATAAACCCAAAAAAGGGTCTCTGGCCAAATGCCATGAATGCGTTTCTTGTCCCCAAAGAGGATCAGTCCGTTTCTCCCCCACCCACCCCCCACACACAATATATAACCTCAGAATGGCCGATAATATCCTGATCTTTAGTTCAGCTCATTGAAATGGTGGGAATTGGGTGAGGGCACTCCTCCACAAGGTCCATGGATTGAAATGGGCCTGCTCCTGGCGCTAAGCAACAGTTCTTTTTTTAAAAGCCATTCTTGCTCGGTGGGTAAAAGGAGGGAGAAAGGCAGAGTCAAAATGTGTTGAAAGAGTAATAGGAACAATTCCATTCCATATCTCTGGGGAGGTTTAATCCAGCGTTACTTGTGTTGGTGAATATGGAAGGGTATGGATGTGACTGTGCAAAAGGTGTATGTACTGTACTTGCTTTAGAGTGGTCTTTTAGACCAGATGGGCGGGGTATAAATCAAATAAATAAATAAATAAATATTTTTGTTTCCTGGAGCCCACGTTGACAGGATAAGCTTCCCTGTATCTTACATGTACCTTATCTGCTATGTGCACAGACGAAGACCGTCCTGGTCCTGTTGGCTTTCTGTCAAGCCAACGTGGAGGACCTCCTGATTCTCTGCAACGGACCAGCTCTTTGCTTTGCTTTTTCTTCGGCTTTGTCTGAGCTTTCTGCGTGCCAAACACTGAAACCCAGGATCCAGTCGGATCTCTTTTCCTGGCCTAGCAGTCCATTGGGCTTTTAAGGCTGACTGGTTTAATGGCCAGAATTCAAGTCCTGGCATCGCCCGTCTTTCTGAAAGACTGGGCTCCAGAAAGTAGTCTGCTGCTTTGATCAGCTTTCCAGTCACTCACCCGGCTGTAATGTTTTACATTTTCTGTGATTCGCAAGGGGGAACAGTGGCATGTAAACAGTCAGTGGGAAGTTAGACATTGCACACTTCTGCCTTATGTGCTCTTTGTTAAAACCTTTCCCAGTATTCTTTGGAGGCCTGTCCTTCCCCCTCCTCGCCTTTTTTTTTAAAAAAATTATCTTACTCCTGTCCTCTTTCCTTTCAGCCTATTTCCTGGGATATGGCAATCTGAGGGTTCTTTCCCCCAATAAGAAAAAGATCTTGTTGCTCCTTAAAGATAGCTGATGCCAAATAAAATCTTTTTTTTTCCATGGAACTGTAACCCATTTCATTAGATGGCAAGTAGATTGTTGTCTGAAAGCTTGTGCCAAATAAATCCCACTAGCTCCAGGTACTACATGAGTCTTTTTGCTACAGTGGACCCTTGACTTACAGACGGCTTGACTTACAGACTTTTTGAGTTACAGACTTCTGTAGTCGCAAAATTTAGGTTTGACTTGCAGACTGAGATTTGACTTACAGACCAGAAAAAAAACCAAATTGGAACAAAAACGGCCTGTTACGGGATTAATCGGTTTTCAATGCACTGTAGACTTGACTTACAGACTTTTTGACTTGAGAACCGCCTTCCAATACGGATTAAGTTCTCAAGTCAAGACCCCACTGTAGTTTTATTGCAACAGCCTGGCAGTGCTACCATGTTTCCCCGACAATAAGACAGGTTCTTATATTAATTTTTGTTCCAAAAATGCATTAGGGCTTACTTTCAGGGGATGTTTTTTATTTTATAGTCATGTCATCTTCTGATCGCTGCACAGTGGTGGAGGTGTTCACTTAACTGGGGCTTATTTTGGGAGTAGGGCTTATATTACAAGGTTCCTGAAAAATCACACTAGGGCTTATTTTCAGGTTAGGTCTTATTTTCAGGGAAAGAGGGTATCTACCTGAAAAAAATGTTTTCCTAATAGGTGCTTTAGCGAAGCCCAGTTAGAACATAACCGTATCCCAATGTTTGCACCTCACAAATAGATGAAGTCTTCAATATTAGATGGTGGACCCTAAAATTATCAATAGAAACTTGAGCTGTTGCATTTTAAAAAGGATGTATGTGGGAGGGCTTAACTTCTAATCTGAAATGGAGGCTGGGAAATACTGTAAGTTGAGCCAGGTTGACAACCGAGAAGTGCTTACTCATGAACATAAGGTATTCACAGTGGGGCAGAGCGCAGGTTTTTTTCATAGTACTTCGTTCTGCTGGTACAGTTGTTAGCAAAGTGGCTATGAGAAGCCCACAAGCAGGATAGGAGAGCAGTAGCCTCAGCTGTTGTGACCAGTGGCACATTTGACATATGAGGTGGGGGGCTGGCCTTCCCTCTTTGACCAAACCGGTAGCGTATTATGAACATCACAGGCCCCTTGATACTGATCTTTCTTTGGGTCCTGGCAGAACAGCTTTGTGGTGTGTGATGGGCTAGTTGGCCTAACTCTGGAGATGCTGTGCTGCCCAGCTCCTGCCACAAAGCCAGTGCTCTCTTGAGCGTTCATTTTGTCTTGCACAAGAAGAGAATGGCTGCCTTTTTAAAAAATAAATAAATAAATCTGTGCTCCATTGAATTCCTTCAAGCATTTGGGGAAAGGAAGCCCCATGGGACTCTTCTGGCAAGCCAGGGAAACAGACAAGGCAACCGTTAAATGGACTTTTGTCCAGTTATGCCTCAGGGGTGGCTGTTCTGCTTCATGAAAGCCCTCTGTTTTCTATCCCAATGTTTGCACTGAATTGGCGCAGAACAGAGACTTGAACTAGGCGAAGCCAAGTGAGAAACAGACGAACATGTGATAACAGCATGTGACTTGCCTTGGTTGAGTCCCTGAACGCAAAGGTCATCCATCGCCTTGGTGATGTTACACTTTAATGATTGCACCCTAATAATATCTGAATAGTGTTCTCTGCAGATTATAGTATGAGAAGATGCTGGAAGTGTGCTTATGCCCAAATTATTTTCTGGAAGTGGAAAAGAAATTATGCTGAAGAACAACAGATTACCCAACAAAGGGGGTATGTGTTTCATTTTTGGTAGGCAACGATAACTTGGTGTTTACAAATTAAAAAGAGACTCAAGATCTCAGTGAATTGTTATTGATAGCATTTCTGGGAAGAGTGTCAAACAGATAGCACTGATAGAAGAAATACTGCTGATAATACAGGTTTTGTTGGGAGTCTGTTAGTTGTTGCAGTCTTGCTTGCAATTCCAAGTTAGATGATGGCTGTAAAAGGACTCAAACTTCACCAGATGTGAAATGTAGCTATGCACCTTGCTAGATACAGGGAGATGTATTCCGCCTATTCTATATCAGTTACAACGGTCATTAGTTCTGGGCACAAATCAAGTTACTTGTTTTAATCTGAAAGACTGGAACCCTCAAAGACTTCCTGTCCCTTTTGGTCTGCTTGCAAATTGAGGCGTGTGTGACAAACAATACTCACACCCCTTCTCTGTGGCAGGCCAGAGTTAAAGTAGAACCTTTACGGCTATGGCCCTCAACCATGTCTTTGTGTAAGAGAGAGAGAGAGAGATTCTGCAGTTTGTTTTTGTTATAGTATAAATTGCATTTCAGAACTAATGTGCTGGATCTATAATAGTTTCATAGAATTGTAGAACTGAGACTCCAAGGGTCCTCAGATCTATCCCTCTGCCAGCGCAGAAGATCCACAGTTAAACTATCCCTAGCAGCTGGCTATTTAATCATTGCTTAGAAATCTCCAGTTGAGTAGGGTCCACCAACCCTCAGAGGCAGTCAGTTCCATTGTTAAATGGCTCTCCCTCTTAGGAAGGTCTTCCCAATATTTAGTCAACATTTCCTTTTCCTTAGCATAGATCCTTTACTTCTTATCCTGTCCTCTTGAGGAGCAGTAGAAAGCAAGCTTGCTCCATCATCCACATCACCACCCTTGGTCTTTGAAGATGGCTATCCTCCTGCCTCTTGGTCTTCTCTTTCGGAGGTGAAAAAAGAGGTCTCTCAGTCTTCCCTTATAGGGCTAGGTGTTCAGACCATTTAACATCCTGATTGCCCACCTCCTCTGGACACATTCCAGCTTTTTCAATACCCTTCTTATCCTTCCAGGTTGGGGCACCACTTTTCAAATAACTGGCAAATTAAATACTGTAAAAGAGAATATTCTGTTCTTCCCTGCCAAGATAGGAAGTGGAGGAGTAGAGAACAAGGGCTGGCATTTTAGAGACTGTGTACAATCTTTTGTTAAAGATTCTTCAGAGGAGTAAAGGCTTTGAATACTTGCAAGAATGGCCTTTTTTCTGAGAGATTTGGGGTCAAACCGTTCCAGCTTCGGTTCCTAACCTGTAGGCGTGAAGAGGACCCTGGGAGAGAGTCTGCCAAATCAGAGCACTTAATAACAACAGAGCTAGGTAGAACAATAGCATGGCTTGAGTAAGGCAGCTTCATGTGTTCCTATGACAACAGTTTTTCTTGGAGCCTTATAAACAGCCCTGAAAAAGGAAGCTCTCCTTCATATTTTGGCAGAAAAGAAAACCTAAATAGATACTGCTTCATTTAGGATTAAGCAGTATCACCGTGGATGTTTCTTCATCTGTGGAAACTACTT